ACAAAATACCACGGCCTGGGCGAGTCTATTTTGAAGAAGTTGCATTAGAAGAAGTTTAAATTTAAAAAATTTGGCTCTCCAAAGAAATTTCAATAGTTGTACTGTGGATATTTGGCTCTGTTGACTAATGAGTTTGCCAACCACTGATATAGACACAGTGGCTAGGATCATAAACCTTCGAGTCACATAGACCTGGCTGTGATGGGAACAGTGCCACATACAATTGTGCAGTGGTCCTGCCAGTTCACCTGTAAATGAACATGATCTCTGTCTGAGAAGGATTTCCTGCACGTTTTGGGGGGCTCAGGAGAGGGAAGAAAGCAGCGTCTGTGAAATGTCAGCACCTCATTGGGGGCCGTAGTTCCTGCTGAAAGTCAACAGCATGAGGCCTGGGAGGCTCTGAGCAGGCGAGGAGGTGAATCTAAATTTAGACTTTCCAAAGCTGCTTTGTAAACCAGAGCCTCGGGAATTCCAGAAAGGACAGTTGGCACACACCACCTCGTCTCTGGTTTGCCTCCACATGTTAGGAGGTTGGATGCCTGAGAGGATAATTAATTGGCCTCGGATATTTCTGGAGAGCCAGTGAGAAGTCAGTGGAGAGGTGCTGGGGTAGATATTTCTAATCCTGTGTTTGTTTCCCGTGAAATCCAGGGAGCTTGGGCTGCCTTCTCCTTGCTAGGTGTTATTTGAGCACAGCTGAACCGATGACCTTTCCTTCTGTCAAGGTGAATGCCAAGTCCCTGGTTGGAAGTCACACTGTGATTCAGAACAGCTCTGAGCCACCAGCTCCAAGTAGAGACTGAAGCTGCTTCTCCCTGAAAAGCTCATCATGCCAAGGGCTGCCATACTCAATCCTCTGCCCAGGCGGGCACACCCAGATGCCAGGTCTATCCCTCGCCAGGATGGATAGACCCGCACCTCTTGGTATATCACACAAGCAATGAACACTAACCCAAGACTTTTTAGGTAATAGGTGTTCTGCAATCAGTCCATATGTGGAAAAATCAAAGAGTTGACAGTAGAAATGATAGAAGAACCAGTGGCCCAGTGCATGGATTCATGCACAATGAAGAAAATTAATTAGAAAAAATATTTTATATATCACTTTGCATATTTTGTCCACGGCTCCACTTTCTTTCAGCTTCAGAATGTCAACAAAAACAACCAAATTCACGGTTGACAATGACAGATCAAAACACACATGTGCAATTGGCACCAGAGAGAGCTTTATATGTATTACACATGTGCAAGTCAACATTTATTTTAAAATTGCCAATGCACATCCTATGAACTGGCCGGTCGGTCATTTAGCCTTTTATATGTATAGATGATGGAAAGAAGCTTAGAAAATGAAGAGGTTTGAGAAGAAATGAATCGTAGCAAACTCAAATGGGAACAGAGAAAAGGTCAGATGAAGGCTGCCTGGTCAGTGTTGACATTCTGAGAGAGGCAGCATCGAAGCCGAAGATGATGCTAAGGGAGTTGAAGTTCAGAAATGCTGGTTTGTCCGAGCGGCTGGGGCTTATTGTGAGAAGGGTCCTGCTGAGCACATTGCATTGGAGCAGCAAGCACAGCAAGGGGAGGCCTAGGGAAGGTGGGCGTCACAATAGTGGAGGCATAACCGATGTCCCTGGATACTTCCAGTCCTCGGTATTTTCTGAGTGCTGCTTGGAGCCCTGGACTTAAACTTACAATCTGGTTGGGAGGTGGACGTGTTTTAAAAGTTAAATCACAGCCCAAATGAGGGTATGGAAAGTGTCAAATACAGTACACACACGAACACCACAGGAGTTTGGAGAGGGGAGAAGTGTCACTGAGGATGGGGTGGATGCATCGCAGAGGAAGTGAGGCTTCGCCTGGATTCTGAATGATGGGCAGGGTTTCATCACATGGGGAGGAAGCAGGAGAACATTGCAGGAACCAGGAAGGTGCAAGCAGAGAGGCAAGGCAGGAGCCGAAAGAGTAGACTTAGAGGCCCACGAGGAAGGGGGAGAGACTGTGCGAGATGACGCGGTACCTGCCAGCTGAAGCTAACAGTGTGCTGGGAACCCACTGACACACACACACACACACACACACACACACACACACACACACGGGAGACAGTCTCTCCCTGCCCCAGAGAGGAAAAGGAAAGAGTTTTGAAACATAAATAGAGCACCTCTTAATTATTCACGGATTAACTGCATTGCAGTTGATCTCACACAGCTGATCCAAATTCTGCTTCCTGCTTGCTGGTGATGTCATCTCTGCTTAGGTGCTCATTCCCGTCTCTGTTTACAACCCTGGGAGGGCTGGACTGGGAAAAAGGCTTAAGCCTCCCCTCAGAAAGCAAAATATGTCTATATAAATGCTTCTGTGTGCTGTGCCCTTGGGAGCCACACCAAGCACATGGGGAGAAAGTGAAAGAAGCTCCAGGTTAGGTTGTAACCTGTCTTGGGCAACAAGGGCCGAGGAGGCATGGCGTCGGCACTGAGCACCTGTCATGTTCCCCTGAATCAGACACCCAGGTGGACTTACCTAGCACAGACATTAGGCCGTAGCTTAGTGGGTGGTCCCAGTGCTGACTTTAATTGGCTGGGCGTCCTCGGAGGGAATGGTATTCATTTATCATGTCATCCCATGTTTATGGACCCTCTCTCTGTAGACACATTGAGCTCGTTTTCTCCGAGCCTCGGTGCCCTCATGGGCAGAGGAGAGCTTGCCTCTCGGTGGAGGGGCTGGCCTAGGTGTGGGTTCAGGCTCCTCACTGATGGGGACGCTCTGCAGGATGGTGAGTGAATCGGGCCCTGCTCGCTAATGGCCAATAGTGGCTCCTCCGCAAACGAGCCCAGGTGGGCAGGACCACTCCCGCTATAGACCTGGGACCTGTTTGCTATATTGCCTCTCAGTCTGAAATTCTGCAAGTCGATGGTTATTTTTGCTGCAGGATCCAATAAAAACATGCAGGACAGGTTTGCTGAGGTTTTGATGAGACACCAGAATAGTCAGTATGTGTGTGTAAGGGGAATTTTCAACAACAGCAGCAATAGGTAGCATCTATGGAGCAAGGACTGTGTCCCAGACCCCTGGCAAATGTCTCTCATAGGAGTTTCTAGAGGGGACCTGATGAGTTACTATTTCGTATCATCGGTGTCCCCTAATTTGCCTGCTTCATTCAGAGCAGTGGCCCTTGTTTTGCTTCGTTTATCTTTTGCAGAGTTGTGCAGGGTTCAGACCTGAAAGTATCCCACGGAGGACCCAGCCCTGGGAGGGGAACGCAGAAGCAGCCCTGGCCAGGTTCCCGCCTTTGTTCTGGACTCCGTGTTTGTTCTTTGTGAGCCTGTGGACTTAATAAACTTACAAAACCTGTGACTTCCGCAGACTGAGTTTATATCGCTAGTTCCGCAGTTTTTCTCCTCCCTCCTTGGGTCCTATGCCTGTAATTGGAGTCCGCAGTCACCGGGGAACCGGCAGGATTGGACTTGACCAATTGCTTTGAAGAGCGAGGTCCCCGTTCTCCAAGAGAATACAGTCCACCACGCCAGTGTCCCGCTGAGCCCCTCAGCTGGGCAGAGAGTCCTTTTACTGGGGCGGCGACACCATTTCCTTGCCATTTGGTATGTGTGCTTATGTCATCTGTGTGGAAAGCAAGCGATACCATTGTCCTTACGTTGCTCATTTGAATATTAAGTTATTAAAATATGCAAAGGCATCTGCAGAAGAGGGAAGAAAAGGGGTCTGAGTGGAAGTACAGGGTGATTGATCCTTTGCTTTCTGCCTGCTACTGGTTCCTGCCCACACTCACCCTCCCCGGCGGGTGCTGATGTGTGTGTTCGGAGAGCTTAAGGAATGAATTTCTCAAAGGTCAGAGCTGACCGTTCCCTCCTACAACCTGTGAGTGTTAAACCTTCGGGGAACAGGCATTTACATAAAAGGCACACCGCTTGATGATCTTATCAAATCAATCCATCTTCTCTCTTCCAGGGGAGCTGCACACAGTGGGAGGGGGCTGGGCGCCCGAGCCTGGAATCCCCTGAGCAAGCAGTGTTTCAGTGGCTGGACAGATCAAATAACACCGGGGCCGGCTAACAACACACGCTGGTGGGAAGGTGTTGGGAGCCGAGGGTGGAAATTTACCAACGTTATTTCTTTGACAGGGAAGGAGACTCCGACTGGGAGATGCCGGGTTCCTGCAGCCTCTCGGAGTCCAGCAGAGTGCAGTCTCGTTCGGAGAGGCATGGATGAGGGGGTGACAGAGGATGCTGCCCCCTGAAGCCTCCAGAGGTGTCTGGCCTGGCAGCTGAGCCCCCACTTGGACCTGGGATTTTGGGGTGTAACTTGGTGTGCAGCTCATGGGAGGTGCTGGGGTTTGGGCTGCAGGATCTAAGGTGAGCAGATAGAAAGGGGAGTGGGCTGAGGCAGAAAGAAGCCCAGAGGGGCCTCCAGAAGCCATGGTGGGGGTCCCTTCGTTCTCCCCGGGACACAGAGAGCAGCTGTGAAGCTGCCAGAGGCTGTGATACAACTGAGCCTTTGGACCGTCCGTCAGTGAAGGAACGCAGAGCAGCGAGAGCATTTCAGCCCGAAGGAACTTCTTTCAACACAGGACGTAAAGGGGAGGGTCTCGGCATCTTTACTTTGTGGTTCCTCCGCAGAGAAAACTTGACGTCCACGTGGATGATGAGACCGGTTTCTCCGTCCAAGATGCTCCGTGTGGAAGAAGCATGAGCCGTTCTCCATGCGGAGAAGGGCTGGGGACACGCAGGCGTGGGTGGGCAGCCCTCCCAGGGCTCGTTAAGAAAACAGCATGAGCCTCCAACTCCTGCAGCTCCGCAAGCACGGACATGTGCCACTCCTGTCTCCGGGGAGCTGGTGGCAGTGACATCACCAGGAGAAAAAGCATCCCTCAGCCTCGGAACTTGACAGAATGAGGTGTGCTGGGGAGGCCACCAGCGGGGACCTGGCCTCACCCGACCGCCCCTCCATCCCACGGGCATCCCCTGGCCAACCCTGAGCCGACGATGGCCGAGAAGGGAGACTGCTTTGCCAGCGTCTACGGCTATGACCTCGGCGGGCGCTTTGTGGACTTCCGACCCCTGGGCTTCGGCGTCAACGGGCTGGTGCTGTCGGCCACGGACAGCAGGACCTGCCGGAAGGTGGCCGTGAAGAAGGTCACCCTGAGCGACGCCCGCAGCATGAAGTACGCCCTGCGGGAGATCAAGATCATCCGGCGCCTGGACCATGACAACATCGTGAAGGTGTATGAGGTGCTGGGGCCCAAGGGCGCCAGCCTGCAGGGCGAGCTGTTCAAGTTCAGCGTGGCCTACATTGTGCAGGAGCACATGGAGACAGACCTGGCCCGCCTGCTGGAGCAGGGCACGCTGGCGGAGGAGCACGCCAAGCTGTTCATGTACCAGCTGCTCCGCGGGCTCAAGTACATCCACTCGGCCAACGTGCTGCACAGGGACCTGAAGCCCGCCAACATCTTCATCAGCACCGAGGACCTCGTGCTCAAGATCGGGGACTTTGGCTTGGCGAGGATCGTCGATCAGCATTATTCCCACAAGGTATGCCTGGCCGGAGTGGCGGGTCGGGGTGGTCTATGGATCCTCAGGGTGCGGGCAGTGTTCCAGGGGGTATTCCTTGTTCTGTGGGAAATTCAGTGGCCTGGGGTCTGTGTCTGGGGGAGGCTGGAGGGTGCTAGGAAGACCACTAACCTGAGAGGTTGTTGAGGAGGTGGTTTGGGTTCTTGATTTTGGCTCTGCCAAGTGGTCATGATCAATAACTCCAGGCTGTGCAAGAGGGCGTTGGACTGAATTATCTCTAAGATTTCTTCCCTGTTGCAAACTCTGTAACTTTAAAACTGTGCAGCTGGTGAATTTTTCTCTAGCATCTCATAATGAGGCTTCCACCACACCAGCCTTTTGCGCTGGTTCATTTTGCCGCCTCCTCCTCCTCCTCCCCCACTCCTCCTCACCCCCCCCCCTCCTCTTCTTCCTCTCCCTCCTCCCAACAAAGCTGACCCACTCTGCGTCCCATTCTCTCTGTCAGTGGACAAGTTCATCTGATCAACTTATCCTCAGTGTCCATTATCCAGCAAATGGCTCAGCTCTCCCAAGTCCCTCAATGCCCTGGTCCCTGAGTGTGATGAAGCTATGGGTGTCTGGATGGTACTGTTGAGACCCCCGGTGGTGGGTGGCTAAATGCAGAGATCAGAGCTGACCTTGCCATCTGGTAGAGGTGCTGACACTCCTCTAGACCTCTTCTTACCTAATGCATTGCTTCCTTTAGGTAAGAAATTCTCTGGAATTCCCTGAAATTCTATTCCCCTCACCCCCTGGTTCTTGCCATTTGGGGAACCTCTGTGCAGCTCCGCCTGAGCTCATGTCACCAGGTACCCCTCACCAGAGCTGGGGGGTAAGTGTCATTTCCAGCCTCCAGCCAAAACCTTTGTGCCACAAATTTTTATTAAAATGAAAACACCCCCTAGTAAGTGGGTGCACCATAAACCAAGAAGCTATGGTGGATCATGACAGAGGAGAGTAGCTCTGACCTTGAACATGCTTCGGCACCTGATTTGCCTGCAGCCAGAAGCTCACAGATGCATAGAAAGGCACTGACCTGCCTGGTGCAGCTGCAGCAGGAGGGTGTTCAAGGAGGGGTAGGCAGGTTCCCTGTCCCACCCTCACAGGCTGGACCTTGAGCTCCAGCCCAGATTTCAGAGCCCAAATCAGCTCCGATGGCTCTAACTCCTCCGTGCCGCCTTCTCCAGGAGATGGCCCTGTGCTCCCCTCCTAAGCCAGGCCATCTGTCAGAACTGACAGCTGACTCTGAAGGCAGGAATGTCCATGGTAAACAAACAAACAAACAAATCTTCCTGTCCTCCTGAAGCCCGGTGCTGTTTCTACCTTCTCTGTCCTCTAAGGAGTAATGACTCCAAAGTATTAAACCAAAGATGTTTAACCCAAATTAGTTTTTACTTGGTAACAAGAGAGTCCATGACTTTGTGATACAAAATCACCTTCTGAATTGGAAGAAACCAGTTATACTGGGAATAATAATAGGATCTTCCTTGATTGCAGAGTCTGAGTAAGTGAAGTATTGCAGGGAAAGTGCTCAGGACAGTCCCTCAGGACAGTCAGGGGAGGTGATTTGAGGCTAAGATTGGCTGTAGTAACAATTCCTAGGAGGGGCACTGGGTGAGGAAGGAAGGCTATGTGAGGAGGTAGACGCCTGGGCTCGTTTCTGTGTTAAGTTGGGAAGTGGATGCTCCCCGTCTGGGCCTCAGTTTCCTCTTCTTGCCAGGGTTGATAATACACGCCCTGTCTGTCCACTGGCTTGTGGTTATGAATAAAAGAGGAGTACACACATAAAGCCCTTTGGAGAGTAGTGAGAACCCCATCCATACATTTCTTGAGTGTTTTCTGAGTGCACACAGGACCGGGGCCCAGGCTCAGCGCTGGGAGCTGGGAGGGTTACTGACCACTGACCGTGAGTGGCTGTTGCTGAATTACGCAAAAACGGATCCATTACTCTGAATGGAACTTTCATTTCTCTGATGCAGGGGAATGTAGATGCTCTGTCTTACTCTCCGTGGGCTCTCTTCAATCAAATCAGCTATTGGAGTCTTTAAAAAAAATCACTGGAGCCACTTGCAAGCCAGTTGGTGTTTACCTCAGTCCTGTGTTTGGCAGGAGCCACCTACCCTCATCCACCTCCTCCCTCATTACCTTCTGCTTTTAGCTTCCCCCCTTCTCTTCCCTGAATGATGATGGAGGCTTGACATTTGGTGCTTTTATTTACCCGAAGTGCATTTAAGTCCGTTCTCATCTAATCCTCAGAATGCTGGGAAGCACGTAGGAAAAAGGGCCCATTTTAAAACAGAGACCTGGCTTTCTCAAGCTTCCTTGGCCAACAGTGGTCAAAGGGGTTCTGGAACTTGGGCCTTCTTGTGTCTTGATGGGTGGTCTTTTCCGTGAGCTACCTCCTTCATGAAGGCTTTCTGGATTCCTAGTTGGAATTGATCTTTCCTTCCTTTGAATTTCCATATTGCTTTCTCCCCATCCCAGACTCCGGATCTTCTAGCACCGTCGACCATTCTCTGCTTTGTCTTAGGGGTATTTATTTGTGTCTGTGTCTTCTATGCTCTTCTAGGCTGAGAGCCCTTGCTTCCTTGTGGGCCATCTCATGTTCATCTTGGCTTTCTCCAGGGAGTCTGGTCACTGTGCCTGAGACATGCCAGCTGACTTCGTTGGCTGCCTTGAACAGATGGAAGACTAGTCATTTACCAGCACATTATTGTTAGGAAGCTAGTTGAGTTCATTGATTTCATGTGGTTAGAAGGTTTGACTCTCAGAAAGAAAGCACATATAAGGGAGAGGCATTAAAATATATGCCTTCAATCTTAAATAGATGAAAAATTAGTGTGCAATTTAAGCATGTATAATGAAAGCTAATACTAGTTTGTGTGTGTGTGTGTGTGTGTGTGTATCTATATATATAAAAGTCTAAGCATTTGGTTGACCAGACGCTATGACACTCACTAACCATCAGGGGGCAGATGCTCAATGCAGGACCTGCCCCTTGGTGGTCAGTGTGAACACCAGAGTGGGGACACCACTCAGCTGATTGTCGGGCACCAGACGCAGGGCTCACAGCTGGCCTCTGCAGCCTGAAGACCAAAGTGGATGGCAGAGAGCCTACCGAGCAGTGGCAGACACAACAGGGCTGGGATGAACAGGAGAGGCAGGCAGGAGTGGTAGTGGCATTGGACTGCTGGTTTCAGCCCGATCCCTGCAGTCTACACTGAGGGACCCCACTGGTACACGAATCCATGCGCTGGTCCTCTAATATATAATAACAATCATATATATTATCAGAGAGGGGAAAAGAAAGAGAGCCCATAATTCTCCCAGCCAATGGATTGGTTGGGGTGAGATGTGTGCATCTACTCTCCCTGGTGTGCATGGAGGATGATGTTTACATGTGAACTGCTCTAAATGTACCCTCCCTCAATTTTATGGATCCTGTACTCACCTTGAAGAGATCATGCTCACCTGGGCTGCAGCTAGTGCCTTGGTGTGAGTCACAAAAATGGTGCCCCCTCATATATATATATATATATATATATATATATATATATATATATATATATATATTATTGATTTTTTAAAGAGAGGAAGAGAGAGGGACAGAGAGTTAGAAACATTGATGAGAGAGAATCATTGATCTCTCTGCACACTCCCCACTGGGGATGTGCCCACAACCAAGGTACATGCCCCTGACCGGAATCGAACCCAGGACCACTTCAGTCCGCAGGCCGCCGACGCTCTATCCACTGAGCCAAACCGGTTTCGGCGGGTGCTCCCTCTTTTGCAGGCTTGTTCAGCTCAGTACCTGTGATAGGCTTCGTGATCCAACTGGGGGCTGAACTTGGTCCCTTGGCCAAGCACGACCCACCTAGCACTAAGCAGCAGCTGGAACCTCACTGTCTTCATCATGACTTTCTCACGGTGGACCGTAAGTCTCATGAGCCTCCACATCCACTCCTCTAGCATGGAGTCTGGCACGGTTAGGTGCCCACTGCATTTGTCTGGTGAAGGAGGTGCTAGAGGAAACGTCCTCTCTTTCATGAGCAGCTGGGAGCACTGGGGCTCCGGTCACAATCAGAGCACATTCTGAGCACGTGTCCCCTACCACCCCACCCCTGGCGGTCTTGCTCCTTGTGATGTCCAGAAGGAGCTAGAGGCCCCAGGAGCCCACACTGCAGGGATATGGCAATTGGGGTACTCTGATGGCTGTCTCTCAACAGAGGCAGCTTGGGGAGCACGGTCTCTCTGTATCATTATTACTCACCTCAATAATTGCATGACCTCGGGCAACGCCTTTTCCTTGTGCAGCGTATTAAGAAATCTGTAAGAAGACCCCACAGTCATCTCATTCACTCCCTTCACTTCACAGATGATAAAACTGAGGCCTGGACAGGAGAGGAGACCTGCTGGAGGTTACACAATGAGTGGCTGAGCCAGAAGCTTAACGCCCATGCTTCAGCTCCATGCCCATGGATTTTCCTGAGCCTCTCTTCTCAATTGTCCTCTCTGCCAGTGGGGCATCGCTCCCATTCTGATTATTTCATAGGATTCTTGTTAGCGTCCAGTTGAAAGTGTGGGAGTCAAAGTCCTTTCAGATATAGGCTAGATCACTAACAGAACTACCTGCCCAATAAGGGCCGTGTTACAGGATGGGGAACAGGCATACACACCCAGATGCCAGTCTCCCCGCGCACACTGAAATATGGAACCAACTCCCCACCTGAGGACCAGAGTCCTGAGGCTTCCCAGTCTGTAGTCCTCATAGGAGCCCCTGCTGCCCACTTCCGTGGCAGGGGTCCTTGTTAGTTCCTTACCTAATGCACTAGGGTGAGTCATGAACGAGTGTTTATGTTGAGAAGAGGCAGGTGAAGGAGAAGAGCATGTTTTCCTTTGAATTTATTCTATTAGGAAGCAGATGTCTCAAAAGAGAAGAAAAAAAATGTTGTTTAAGACTTCACTGAGCCCCGTGTAAATTC